ACGCAGCCTCCCAACCACGGAGGCAGCAGTGTAGTGAGGTGGCCAGCCGCTTCTACAGCTGGGGAAGCACACAGCTGTGATCAAAACGGTCGGGAATGCAACAGGCCAGTTACACAGACCAGTGCGGTAAGATCGACGCCTCCAAGCGGCGCCAGGGGCCGCTCGGCGCCCAGGCCTCCTGCTCCTCCGCTGACCCTTCTGCTTAAGAAGGATGCCACACGCACCGATGTGCTGAAACAGAAAGCCAGTTGCTGCCAGAGCAGTGCCACACAAGCAGGAAATACTTCACGCCGCGTCAGCTTTCAGATGAAAGGAAACAATGCGCTGATACAGACGCAAGCTGAGGACAACAGCCCGCAGCTCTCTGAGCTCATACAGAGGGGAGTCATGCCGTCTGGAGGTGCTCTCCAGCTGCTGCTGAAGGTGAGGCTAAGCTCTTCTCATTGAACCCCACGTGTTACAGCTTGTTCTCTTTAGAGTTGTCTCCAAACACACCTGAACTAATTTAACAGAATGTCTTTCCTAGTTACAGGAAAAGTTACATTTTCCTCATGTCTAAGGGTGTTAAATTTGAAATTCAGAGCATATCTGCAATTGAGGGATTGCCTCCATACGGCTCCCAACGGAGTGACTGGAAGCTAACGGTGCTAACAGCGCAAACAACAGCTAAACAGTGCTGACAGCGCTAACGGTGTTTACCAGAGAGGGGGAACCGCGGGGTGGGCGTTACGCTTCCATGACGATGCCGGTGCAGAGCGGTGCAGAGCGGTGCAGAGCGGCGGCCGTGAGCTAACCAGTGGTGCACGCTCACATGCACACGCGGCCGGACCGGCTACGACAACAAAGCACAGAGACGCTCTGATTACAACACACACAGAGGGAGAGTGACTTCCTTCTCTGCTCAGGTTATATCTTTACATAGAAAAAGGGTTGTTTATATCAATATATATATACAATTATATATATATAATTATATAGGGCTGCTATATCAATGCTCTGACTTTTGAATATAGCACCTTTAACATACATATCGACAACATCTGTTACTTTTGGAACGTTAACCAAAGTCCATTAAAAATGATTTTGACATTTGATTGTTGCATGATTTGTTTTTCTCACCCAACATAGCTACAGCATATGTGTGTTACGGCAACAGCGGCAAGCAATTTTTTTGTCGGCGTCGCTGTCCTCGTTCCAGAAAACAGCGTGTTCTTCCCCTTTTGCGCCCGCAGGGTCTCCGGCACCTCGCTCACGTGCAGGGAGATGGCTCGATAAAGGACAGCAAAGGCAAGACGCACCGGGCTCCAGAGCGCTGGCTGGAGTCCATCCTCGGTAACAACATCCCTGTCAGCTCCACGTACGCCTGGGACAAGGTTAGACACCGGGCTGCCTTCATCTCACCACTGCACTCACACAACATACGAGTACTCTGTTTGTTGGATCTTCATCAGGCAGACACTTGTGCTTCACCCGTTCCCATGAGACCACTACAGTGAGGTTCCTGATGAACTGTGTATTCTTAAGATCCCCTCCACTGTATTTGCTCTGGATATTCATCTTGTCCAAAGGGTGAACCAAAATGTTTCTGTGACCTTTCTCACAATCATATCAAAAAAAGTCCCTTCATGTTCCCACAGGAAACTCTTTCAGTTCAGCACCGCCCTCAGGACAAAAATTTGATTTTTGAAACGAGACAGAGCATGTCACCAATCAGCCACAGAAACCCCGCTGGCACGCAGAGGAGATGCATACTTCACACAGAGGCTCCAGCCAACCACCGGCCACCCTAACCCTGAGTCTTCCTCTGGGCCGTAGAGCTCCACTGTTCTCCCAAAACTACTAAAACACATTAATGAGCCACACTGTTGCTCTGGCTGACGTGTTCCTTCATCGCCGTGAACACACACACACTGTAGTTTGTTTTCACTCGATGTGGATTAGTCCGCTGCAAAAACAATAGTCCCTCACACATGCACTATCTAACTAACTTTTGTTAAGAAACCACAGTGAGCAGCTGTTTTAGGAATTTACCAAACTTCATTTCAGAAATGAAACTATAGATTTGTGATTTGTTACGTCTTCAGTGGGAACCAATGAGCTGAGAGACAAAGCTTTGAGGGACAGAGGTGGTCTCTATGGTTGCAGTAAGAAACACAGAGAATAACACAGCCTCATCCTTCAAAACATACACGCATATTTGCATGATTAGAGAGTAAAGGGCCAATAATAATGTTTACAATAGTCGGTAATAGCACTTATCATAACCAGTCATTACAAAGTGTTTACAAGCTGAGGCGGTGGTTACTCTTGTCTTTTCTTTGAGGAGCTCGGCTGATCTGATAGAGATTACTCTTATTTTGTGGTGAAAGGAGCAGTCTTAACAAGGTAGATAAACACATTTAATTTACTATGAAAATATTCACAGTAAAAGTCCCCCATTATTTTGTTGATTAAAAGCTTTTATTTTGAAGCAGCAAAATCAGAAAATGTTGGGCCTTCAACAGCAGGACGTTAACAGGACTCAGACAGCAGAACCAGTTTTCCTCCCAAGTGACCCGAAAAACTTTCAGATAGTTTTTCAGATAATAAAACAAAATTCACAATGCAGGTCAATATACTGGAGCAGTACGGTAAAACACACTGCATGTGCGATATTAAAAGCTGCCCTTTTCTGTGTCACTTCCATAAGTTGTGAATGCACCATGATTTAGTTGACTCGTGAGAGTCGGACCGTCTTCCTTCCTACTCCATCGATGTGGATCAAGGTTCATGTGGCTGCTGTTTCCTGCCTGCCAGTAGGGGTCTGTGGAGACGGGGCAACACTCAGCATTAGGCTGTAAATTATTGAGTGTTCACCGTGGAGCTGTGCACCAGCACACACTCCTCCTCCTCCTCCTCCATCATTAGATTTGAGTAAATTAAATACAGCGTGGCTCTACGGAGGCCTGCTCAATGTTTGCATGAACCAGAGTGCTGCTGAAAGAAACCCGATAGCCCCCTCAGGGTTCACATATCCCCCCTCAGGACACCATGATACTCTCTTGAATAAGTCATCGCTGACAAACGGACATGTCAGCCTCGTTAAAAGGTGTTTGTGATGACCTCCTCCCTCTGTTTGCTCAGGTGATGTTCGCCGACAGACCTCTGTCTCACTACCTGCTGCACACGGAGGCCGAGGGAGACGAGCCGCAGACCCGTCACGGGTCGGCCGGGTATTCACCGGAGGGGCTGACCACAGGTCTGTTGTTCCCGTATACATGACATGTTTCCCCCCCTCTGGCCCCACTTCCACTCACATCCCGCCTGTGACATTTCCTTCAGAGCAGTAAAGAGGTGGCGGCCACTGAAGCGTGGCTTTTTCTGTGTCAATAATTAATCGGCCGCCTTGTACATCTCCCACCTGGAGATTCTCTCAGCACTGTTTCAAAACAGCCTCATTAAAGGGACAATGTGGACCATTTAGGGGGGGTTATTGGCAGCTATTGAATATCATATATATTACTGTTTTAATCAGCGTGTAATTGCAACGAAGTATCATTGATGTTTTCCTTAGCTTAGAAAAAAGCCATTTATACCTACGTAGGGAGCGGGTCGTCCTTCACCGCCATGTTTCTACAGCAGCCCAGAACGGATGCTGGCATTAGAGAGAGCCTTTACCCTATTTATTTTATCCGAAGAGAGGGATGCGTTCCAAAACCTGGTGTGAAACGGGCCCCGGGTGTTTAGTTGGTTGTGACCTGCCCCAAACCACTAGATGCCACTAAAAACTCACACACTGTGCCTTTAAAATGAACTGTAGATTTTCTGTTCTTTAGGGACTTCATATGTAAAAGCATGGTTTTGAATGTGTTTTGTGCAGAGGCAGCCATCCTGAGACGTCTAATGAGAATCAAGATCATCCATCTGGTGGACGACGAGGAGCTGCTGCCAAATGCTGTGATGGACCGTTACTGGGAGAAGCTGCAGAGAGACTGTTCAGAGTCTGAGGACTGGAGCACTGAATTATTGTAATCATCCTGTCCACAACTGTTTGCTTTGAGTGTTTAACTTGGTGAGTTTTACTCACTCACTCATGTATAATCACTCATTGTGGGTACAACAGAGTGATCATATCCATCAAGTGTTTCAGCGTATTCATTTATCTCTCCCTCACATTACACTGGTTTGTGTTTGTACTTTAAACTCTGTTCCCTCACTCACTTCAAGTGTATCTGAGCCTCAGACACGTGTAGTATTTGGATTTTTTGCATCAAATGTGATCTTTTTTATGAATTGCGTTAACCCGAAACAATAAAGAGATCACTGTTGATATGGTGTGTGGCTAAAGGTTTGAGCTGGAGGGTTTGGTACAGAGGGTAGGATGTTAGTAGGTAGGGATGTCCCTGGTTGCAACGTCTAATGAGTTGTTCCTAGCAACCATTTGGATCAGAAAAGCTGCTCTAAAAGACTCAAATTAGAGAGAAAAGAAGAGAAACACAAAGGCAGAGTTGTAATGAGGGCCACTGCTGGAAATAATGACAGAATTAATATTTGTTTCCGGACTCAGGATGCTTTTTTTCTGTTTCACTTCCCCACCTCTGACTAAGAGCAGCAAACAGCTGCTTCTCTCAACTTTGTGCTGGACTCAAGGGGACACCATCCACAGCAGGGTCGATTGTCCCAATATATTTAGTGCTTTATTCTCATGAAATTGCGACTTTTTTCTCATAATATCACAATTTATTCCATCAAAAATATACTTTATTCTCAGAGAACACAAGGTTTTGGACGGGAAATGAACAGGAATCTTAGAGTTTTATAGATTAAATCAAAAAATGAATTACTGTATCATCGAGGTGATTAGTAACCACGTGCACATTTAAAGTGGTCACTCCTCCAAACAAAACAACAAAAACAACAAAAGAAACATGAGAGTAAATGCTGCCTTCCGTGTGAGTGACAGTAGATCTACAGGACAACCAATATGTGACTCCCCCCACTCCTCCTCCGAACAGTCGCTCCAGTCCGCGATGGAGCCCCGGACATAGCAGACTGAAGCTGGGGGGGAGGAACCTCGCTCGCTCGGCACTTTTGCTCTGCGCGTGTGGTAAGTCGTCCGCTCCCTCGCGCACCGTTAATCAGGCACCGTAATAAAGGCAACGTTACCGGAGTGTCTCAGGGGAGACTCGAGGGTTGTACGGCAAATGTGCCTCATCATGTGATTCCTCCCGGAGAAAAACGTACGGTTATTCAGACTGTCCGGTGGGTAACACGGACACGAACTCAACAGTGCCCCGTGTTGCTTTTTTTTACCCTCACACTAAATGTGTGTTTTTTTTCTTCTTTTTAAAAAATGTATTACAGGTCCTCGTGCGGAACTGCGGGAGAAGTTTGCATGGCACGAGAGCCGCTCAACGACAACTTTAGAGAGCAAGGTAAGCTGGAACAGAAGCAGCTTCTGCAAAGCATGAACTTAATAACATGTAACGCAACTGTCAGATCTGAAGAGTTGCATGTCAGATGTGAAGCGAATATGTTCATGAAGTAGATTATTAATAGGGAAATAAAGTTCTAGTGCTATGTCCTGATAATTCTAAATGATTTACTACCTTGTGGAGAATGTCAAACAAAAAATGTAAAGATAATTAAACGTGTATTACAGTTTACAATAACTTCATTGTTTTCCCTTTTATTTTTTATCCCCTTTTGTTTCCAGAATGAAAATAAGATGTGCCCACTACACACATAGATTGAGACACAGATGCTTCCTGTTTTCTCTGTCTCTGCTGGCGGTCTGTCTGCTCAAGCTGGTCCACATCAAAGTGACGGTGAGGGACGGCGTCTACATCGAGCCCTACGGGATCACGGCCGCCCTCTCCGGACTCAACAAGCAAAGGTATGACATCAACTGCACCGCCGTCTACGAGCTGGACCCGGTGGAGATAGGCAAGACTCTCGCCATCAGACGGAAGGCCATCAGACGGAAGGCCATCGTCGACGTGGACGATGACAGCATCGTGACCTTGACCTCGGACTGTCAGGCGTTCATCAGAACGAGGGGTTACGATGAAGTCCCGGTGTCGGAGGCGGAGCGGGGCTTCCCGTTGGCCTACTCCCTGGTGGTGCACAAGAATGCACCCATGGTGGAGCGCATCCTTCACGCCATCTACGCGCCTCACAATGTCTACTGCATCCACTACGATCAGAAGTCCTCCCCGGCGTTCATAAAGGCCGTTCAGAACCTGGGCCGGTGTGCTCCGAATGTGTTTATCGCCTCGAAATTGGAGTCGGTGGAGTACGCGCACATCAGCAGGCTCAACGCCGACCTGAACTGCCTCTCCGACCTGCTGAGGTCAGAGGTCAAGTGGAGGTATGTCATCAACCTGTGTGGCCAGGACTTCCCTCTCAAGGCAAACCACGAACTGGTCGCGGAGCTGAAGCAGCTCAACGGCAGCAACATGCTGGAGTCCAGCCGGCCCAGCGAACTCAAGAAAAAGCGGTTCGGCTTCCGGCACGAGCTGAAGAACGTGCCTTACGAGTACCGTCGAATTCCCGTCAAGACCGCGGCAGTCAAAGAGGTCCCGCCGTACGGTATCGAGATGTTCATCGGGAGCGCGTATTTCGTCCTGTCGCGCGATTTCGTCGATCACGTCAGCAGCAGCCCGGTGGCGAAGGACTTTCTGGCGTGGTCCGCCGACACATACTCACCAGACGAACACTTCTGGGCCACCCTCGTCAGGGTCCCCGGGGTGCCCGGACACATTCCCAGGTCGGAGGCCGACGTGACCGATCTGAGGAGTAAGACGCGACTCGTCAAATGGAACTATTTAGAGGGGAACCTTTACCCGGCCTGCACGGGTGCACACATGCGGAGCGTTTGCATCTACGGAGCGGCCGAGCTCCGCTGGCTCCTCAACTACGGCCACTGGTTCGCCAACAAATTTGACCCCAAAGTGGACCCGATCCTCATCAAGTGTTTGGAGGAGAAGCTGATGGAGAAACGAAAGTATGTGCAAACATGATACTGAAAGGGAAGAGGAAAGGAGGAGAGAGTGGTTCTAGTATTTATTTCAGTTGTTCGGCAAAGGTGCAAAATGACATCAAAGGACATCTCCTCAATCATTGTACTGAAGCATAGGTTTTGAGACGCAGGCACTTTTCTTGAGTGTTTTCCTTTTATTAGCCTCTGCTACCTATTCAGCCCAGTCGCCAGGAAAACATGTTGGCATCGTACGTTTCTATGAAAACACGGATACGGATTTTTTGCATTCGGTCCGAGCAAGTGGAGTATATGGAGCGACAGTTATTGAATGTTATGTGATATAATGAGAAGGGGCAAACATGAGACTTTCACACAAGAGACCACTGTTCATGTCCTGTGTGAAACCAAAAATCCTCTCGTTACGTTGTTATGTCATTATCTGACCATTGACCGTGATCTCTGTCTGACCTTCATAGTGCTGCGACTAACGACACATTTTCTTATCGACTATTTTACCGATTAGTCTATTGATTTGAACGATTAATTTTCCTCTAAGAAAAATCAAATTGATCAGTTCATTTAATATTGACAAACTGTAGGCTATGCCATTGTAAAATAAAGATCTTGTAATAGAGTATCAAAATGCTCCTGATATTCTTACAGTGCTCATACCAGTTTGTAATCAGAAATCAATAGACTCTAAAGCATTTTTCAACAAGGCAGCATAAATCACCATAACATGAGTGTATTTAGCAGAAACAAAAGATTTAAAAAAAAACAACATGCGGCGAATGAAAGTATTGATCTTAACGCATTTTCAGCGTCGACGTCATCGTTTACGCTGACTAACCCCGGCAGCCCTGAACCTTGACCAGGTAATGTTGCTGCCTAAACCTGACCAATCGTTTCACAACGTCAATCACGGAGCATTGTGCATTTCTGCTGGCAAAATACGAGGCTGATACATGAGGTATTTATGGAACATATTTTTGGTCCAGAAACGTTGATATTCAACGCACCCCGTGGTTTGCAGAAAAAGGTACAATATAAAACATGTTTCCTGAGGACTGGGCTGGTATTTTCATTTCGTTAGCCTCTAATACATATTTCATTGGAAAACACTGAACATTTCTCTGATGGCTTCTAATTACTTTGCAGATTAAGATTTCTCCAGCCAACCCATGATAAGGTCGAACAGTGTGCATTGCTTTAGTACCGAACACTATACGGAGAGGCACCGCCTCAATAATCAACAGTAATTTAACACTGTGAATGAGATTGTTCTTCAGAATGAGTTCTATTCAAATGGGACATTTGACTAATATTTCTAAATATTGATTGCTCGACTTTTAACGAATTCTGTTTACAATGCGATATTGCTAAGGGATTGAAATTGTCTTTCCACCTCTTCAACATGATGCAACTCTGTCCCCGCAGGATACCTAACAGCCTTTCCACATCATTTCATTCGTTGTAATCGTTGTCAGTCTGCAACTTTCCCCGATCGCACGAGGCATTTAATCAGCCTTTAAAAAGTGCCTTTGTCAAAAAGGTTATTTGAGGGAAATGCCATCCTAAAAGCAAGCTGCTACTCGATGTCACGTCCAAATAGTGTCCGTGTTGATCTTGAATATGATTCCAGAGACTGCTTTTATATCGAGAGTAGAAATACCAAAGACTCATGCTGTTCTCATGTATTCTGCTTAATGAAATGCTCCGTGTTTTTTCTTTGTGATGAAGATAGCAACTGATGTAAAAAAAAAAGTTAGGATCGATATTGAAAGGTTGTGATTTCTGACGGTTTCTGTATTCTTGAATAAAAGTATGGTGCTTCTTACGGGCTGTTTGGCCTTCAGTTGTGTTGTCAGGTGATACCCTGTCGCCTCCGAACGACCTGTGTGTGAATCCACCTGTGTGTGGATTCACACACAGGTGTTTCAGTTATTGTGTCCACCGCATGCATGTCAATGGCTTTTCATCCACAAATATAAGAAAATGCTTTGCAAAGGTTTCCTTAGGTAGGACATGTGTTTGTTGTTGTTTAGGCATAAAGATGCTCACAGCTCAGTGTGTTGGATGAAAGCTCGGCAGGGTACCTTCAACTGATTTAATGGGGCTAGTTTAATGGGCTTCATACTGATCCTGTGGTTCCAACTGCACCACGCCCTAAGTGCCTCTTACTGTAGAGAGTGGTGTTTTTAATTTCGCTCTCTGACTGGCTCCGCACTTGGCTCCCAATACTGATGACTAAACGGGACTGACACACACGGACGTTTGATATAAAGTAAATGAAATGAGCATGAGGTGGGAGCTTACGAGCCACCATGACTCAGGGTGGCAAGAGCACTGACTCCCATTCCTCAGTCCGTCAGAATAAAATAGAACCCTGGCCCCCCCACATCTCACCTGCACGGACCGCCGCATTAACAAGCTTGCGGTGCCCTCGAGAAAGTCAAGCACAACAGCCGGAGAAGAGGGAGGACAGAGTGGCCTATTGTTACTCTTCGCTACGATTACAGAGATGGAGGACATGATTCCAGGGGGGGGGGCAGCTTTGGATGTCTCGTGTTCAAGTTCTCCGCAGGTGAATGGAGATTCCTCTTCTCCCAATTTGTGAGCGTTTTTTAATAACTAGTCAGTCTAAAATGGGATCAGGCCGTTGTTTAAAGGAAGGTAATACAACACAAAGGACGAGGGGCTGCAGCGTAGTAACAGCAGCAGGTGGTGGTTGCGTAGCAGCTGCTCATGTTTCCGTCTGCTCGGCCGGGAGGTAAACACTTAAGGTCTTTAATGGGCTGCGATCTTTCACAGGAGGGTTTTAAAGGACACAATGTAAGAGGTGTCAAATGGCTAACTCCTCAGCTCACTTGATTATGATGGAAATGTGTGTGTGCTTTAACCTTAACACGGTGGCCTTCAGCGTTGAAGATCAGAGCTTGCCACTTAGTTCATTTTTTACCCCTTCTGTCCTCTTCTAGAAGTGCTCAGGATCTCAGGAAGTGTAAGAGAAACTACATTTCACATTTAGGTATAAAATCTCGGCAGAAAACTGTTTCAGCCCGATATCGGTGACAACGCTGTCGGCCAGCCTGCTCTCCTACAAGTGACTTTTCCATATAGTGAAACATCCAAACATGCACTGTCATGTGTCTCCCGGAGAGGCTACGTTTCTTATCATATATGGACCCTTAAATGGACCCTGTGAGCTCGTGGTTACAACATAGGAAGTCATGGACATGATATGCTTGGTTATCAAGCAATATCAGGAAAAAAATGAGGCCGTTGGGAATATCAACATTTTCGCCTCCCCCATGTTGACCCCACGACCCCATTTGAAGGCAGCAAATGGTTCACAGAAGTCCACACAGGGCTTGATCAATGCAGGACTTTCACCCAGGAGACTGCCTCATCGTCATCTTGTTTGAATCTACGTCCGTAACTTAGATAACGTAACAAACTTACAGATTTTTGGCCAAACCACGATGTCTTATTAAACCTAACCAAGTAGTTAGTTGCGTTATTGTTTTGTTTTCAACTTACAACGTTAATCAGGTGTTTAAAACTGCGACCGTAATCCGGGAGAAAGCATGCTTCCCTAACCACCCAACCAAACCACTGATTGGTGAGGTGCCTTGATTACGAGTTGTACAGTTTTCGACCCAAGCTTCAGCCTCGTATCCTTTACAATGATTTAGAGGTGACCCTTCGCTGCTACTACGTTTTACAAACGTACATCTCCTTTCAACCTCTCGGGGTAACGAGTACCGCTATTACACAATGTTTAAATATGACTCGCGTCAATTCCACAAAACCATCCCGAAAATAGGATAGTTATTCAGAAGCCTGGTCGGGGCAAAGGTCCATCTGCTGAGTAAGATTGTGTGAAATTACCAAAAGCTCTAGTACAGCTGCTAATGGATGTATTTTGATCATATTTCTACTTCTTTTCTGAATGCTTCATTATCATCGTAGTGTTCACAGTAGTTGTGAGCAGCACGGGGCCCGTGGGTGGCAAGTCAAATGTAGGTATCATGTGAGTGGACACAGAGTGGCTTTAGTAAACCAGTGGCCTCGCTGTCTGCCCTCCTCCTCTATATATCCCTGCTCCTCACAATAAACCCAATTCATGGCCCGCTCTGCAGTGCAGAGGGGTTGCAGAGGACAGGTGAAATTTGAATACGAAACCTGCGCCGCCTTCTACATGTCTGTCTATCTGCAGGTTCACAATGAACAATAAGCATCATTCTTTCTCTCTGGTCTGGTATTTTGGACAGGGTCCAACCTTCTTTTCCCCCTGGCTCATTAAGACCTCTTTCCCAAAAGAGGTGCTGTGTCGTCTTCCAAGTCTGTGAAATTATGATTACGTTTCAGCAAAACGTTTTTGGCTTGCCCCTTAACTCCCACTGGACGGTCTTACTGAATTTGGGATTTGTTTTGTAGCGATTTCTTGGCTTCAGAAATACAAGACATCGTAAACCAAGTCTTTCCTCCCCCACTCAGAAGTAATTACATTATGACTCACTCTTCCCAAGATTGTTTTGTTTTGCAAAGATGAAGTCATTGGCCGAATGCCCCGGAGGACTTTGGACTCTTCCACTTCTCGCAACCCCGTTATCCGAGCTAACTCCCCGGCTAGCCTGACTGAGATCATATCTCTGGTTCGCCTGTTGCTCTGAATTCATATTGCAGGTCACTGATAGATTCCCAGGAATGCCATTCAAAAAAAGACTTCCTGTAGAAACTAAAACTAAGCCCCAATCAGCTAGTTTTCCCGGGCACCTGTCATTGGCAGCCCACTGCTCCAATGGGATGGGTCAAATGCAGAGACAAAATTTCACCCTTAAAGGGATCAATATAGTATAATAATAAATAGTTATTTCCTCCTTTTTCTCTCCACTAAACTTGCAGCGTTGGGAGGTGGCGCCCCATTCATTCCTATTAAAGTTGCTCAGTGGCGCATGAAGCAAAAAAAAAAAAGGTTTGACATCCGAGTATAAAATTACCTGGATCTTCCTCATCCATCGGGCCCAAAGAGCAGCCTGGCACTCTTCCTGAGGGTCTGTGAGGGGAAACCTGGCGGAGGGTTCCTGACAAAAGATCATCCTTACATGCTGTTTTATAAAACTCAAAAGTACAAGGGGGTTGTGTGTGTATTTCAATGGGGAGGACTTATAAATAGGACTTTATACTTGTCGGTATAAAGAGTATGTTCTCGGAGTGCTCAGAGCTCGATCTTCACGGTGGTCAGGACCCAATCAGGGGCCTCTCGGCGCGTATCCAAATACAGTAATCAGTCCCGCCCAGTTCCTGTGGCGATGATGCCTCGTACCTCGACGGACCACGGAGCACCTCCGGGCGAACAACCCGTCTTTGTTCCTGTGGAGTAAAGCAGGACCCTGAATGCAGGATCAAGAATCCAGCAATGTGTGTTTGTGTGTGTGTGTGTGTGTGGGGGGGGGGGGGGGGGGG